TGCGTGGAGCCGCTGCCCGGCCTCGCCGGCGCCGTTCCGCTCCGTGTGTCGCTGGGTTACTTGGACAAAAGAAAGAAAAGCTGTCTTCTCGCAAAGAGGCGAACCCAGTAGCCCTCGTACCCTACCAAAAAAATCGCCACTGCCAGCAGCACCCGCCCTTCCCGGAGGAGTGGGTTCAGAGCTGGCTGCAGGTTAAAGAGTACGTGACTCTGGCTCAGGGAGAGATGAACAAACCTTACAAAAGTTTGATCAAAAGTGAAAGAAATCACCCAGGCTGGAGCTCTGAGGTACTGTCTTCTTCACAGCCTTTCTTGTACATCTAGAGCAAGTTGCTTGTTTCAGTTCTGAAAGACACCAGATTACTGACTTTTGAGGGGATTTTTTCGTTATGTGGTACTTTTTGGAGCGCTGTTACACATTTTTTCTATTTTGTGAGGGCCGTTTGTTCCCTTCATCTCATTTATAAAAGTTTAAAATCCCTGTTACTGATCAGTGCCGAACAAACCCAGCAAGAGCTGGGGATTTTTGTTCCACTTTGCTTTCTTGTAGCCTAGCAGTAGCGTTTGTCTTTGCCTGCTTAAATGGAAAATGCTGGTCAGCTGTGTGACATTATCTCGTTTGCCTAACAGGTGAGCTGCAAGGTGCTGCAGTTCTTTCATCAGTACATGTTGGGCTGCAACTACTTCTGGATGCTCTGCGAAGGCATTTATCTTCACACGTTGATTGTGGTGGCGGTGTTTGCTGAGGAGCAGCGTTTGCACTGGTACTATCTCTTGGGCTGGGGTACGTATGTTGTAATTTGTAGTAAGATGGACGGTTCTTTCAGATGTTTGTGTTCTCCTAGCACTTAGACACCTGAGTTGTTATACTTGTACCACTAGATCATAGCTTAAGCTTGAGATCTTGGGTCCTCAATTTGAGAGCATTTGTTTGGATGGGCCTAGAGACTCACAGAAATCATCAGCAGCCAGTATCTGTTACTTGCTGCAGCTTGGGATTTGCTGAAAGAAATGCCTAAGTTTTGTTAAGCAAAGCTTTGGGAGAGAAATAGGTTTTTATCCAAACATATCTCTTCTCTGAACAAAAGTTGTATGTTTCTGCCACTTCATATGCAAAAATATGAATCTGTGACACTATGTATAAAAGTTTATTTTTTCTGGAATGGAGAAGAGGAAAAATCAGTATCTGTGTCTCCTGAAGTGAAAAAGCCTAGCATGCGGAAAGAGGAACCAGAATTTCTCTGGAGGTAGTGAATCCAGAATCAGATGTATTTTGGCAGAGGTCGTTTTAACGGAGAAGATTCAGTTTTACCTACAGAGGAGTAGATAATGACTCTGCTGTCAGGGCAGATTTTGTCTAGCAGCGGTGATCTCTAAAGCATGTCAGAGAAACACAAGAGAGGTTACAAACCCGTGTGCTATGGATGCAAACTGTATGTAGCTGCATGCATATTGCCCAAGGAACCATGGCTAGGTCTGGTCCTTCACCTCCAAATACGCAGGTCTCATCTGTTCTCCCTAAGGGATCCCTTGCCTTTTAATGCAACAGCAGGTATTTATCCTTTGGACTGTCTGCTCCAATAAAAGGCCATATAGATACAACCAGTATATTACAGTGGAGTGCAGTCGCTTTTAGATTTAAATCACTGCTGTGAATCCAGTCTACATCAGCGTTGACAGCAAATCATTATCAAGAAGTTCTTCCCAGTTTGGAAACCATGAGTCTCTGGCCTCATTCCAGTTTCTGGTGAGCCAGTCCTTGTATCTTGAAACCACTGGTGCAGATAAGCAGCGAATGATGGTTCACTTGTATTCATCTCTTGCAATCCCAGTCTGAAGCAGATCGCATTTACTCCGTAGTTGCTATCCTCTTTGGAGATCTTATCCTTGTTCAACATTATTTCATTTACAGCAGGAAAATAAAAAACAGCCCTACTGCTTAAACAGAGAAAAATCAGGAATTAATTAGAGAAAAATGACCCAGTTCTAAATGTTCTGAAGAACTTTAAAACTCTGATTTCAGCCACTAGTTAGGCATCCAGTACCAGGTCCTAAACAGGCAGTAACAGCCAAGTGGAAAGTTGTTCTTCCCCTGTTTGAATTTTCATTTCAGAGCCTGGTAGCTTCCTTATGTTTCTTATGAGAATGGCATCTTTTCTGAAAAGAGAGGGACCTGTCATGCTCTGGGAATTAAAAGTACGTGGAATATCATCAGCTCTTAAATGAAGACAACCTTCCCGAAGAACCCTAAATTGAGTCAAGGTTTCTGGGCTTTGTCAGTCCAAACAGCTAAGCCCTCCTGGAGCAAGCAGCCGTGCTGTCGCAAAGTGTCCATAGTTCAGAATATTTGAATATGCCAAGTCTGGTAGGGCTCTGCTCTTGAAATGGCCACCCAGTGTGAAGGGTCATTATAAGCGTTTCCTTCCACATACAACTTTTTCCGTTTTCATGTCTTGCAGCATAAGCCCTCCCCGAATAGTGTAATTCCATATCCAATTATGCAAGAGGAAAATGGTCATAAACATATTTTTTTCAGGTGACAGTAAATTTAGTCAGTGCAATGTAATGTGACTGGGACAGGCAGCCTGCGGTGAAAGCTTTCGAGCTAGCTGTAATACTGCTGAGAATGGCACTGGCATCAGGGGGGGTAATCAGTGAAGTTATCTGAGGAGATACTCGTCAGGATCTGCAGCGCTGCCCAAAAAATAAATAGGGTGCTGGGTGTGGTAACAGGGCGATGGTATCTTGAAAATGGACACAACTCTTGACTGTGAAGTCTGCAGCGTTTTTGATGGAACTAGATGAGTACTTCCACAAAAAAGGCAATCATTAGCACCTCCTAACTAGGGCAGAAATCATTAATAGCAAAATGATGTAATTAGGACTGTCTGGCCACCCCTTCAGTTTGCATAATCAGTGTAATTCCACTGATTCCAGAAGCAGTAGTCACACAGTCTAACTTTAAACATCCAGCCATGTTAATCGGTGGAGAGAGATACCTTTCTCCAAAGGGCAGTGCAGAGCAGCCCGAGCAGGCTGTGCTCTGAATTACAATTCAACAGGTCAAGGTGTATGCACCACACAAGATGAAGTTACTCGTTATTCATTGTTGTAACTCATCCCTCTGCAAGAAGATCTAGATTATTTTATTTGGAACAATCACTAATGACATTTGTAAAAGAGCTTTATAAGAAAAATAAGAATGTGAGCAACTATAAAACTCTTCTACAAAAGGTTTGAGATGATCAAATAGGATCTGATGTGGACAGATGTATTTCGGGGCTGATGCCTTCAGGTGACCCCTTCTCTGGGAGCTGCTGCTGGGGGGTCATTTCTCGTTTGCTGTTGTTTCACTGGATCAGGAAATCACCCTTATGCAGGGCAAGAAACCAGTATCAGACGTTGCTCCCAGCTACAGTCTGGCTGCTTCAGGCAGCTTCATCCACATTAAAGTGAGAAGGGAAGGAATTATTTGGGCAGCGCTGAAGCAGAGTGCCTTCCAGATTCAACTGGAAATACAATTAAGCGTAATTGCCAGTCGGTGCCATGAAGGACCTGGCATGCCCTGAAGGGATATGTTGTACCTTTTCCTGGGATGGCCAGGTAGGACCTTTTCTACGTTGCTCACTGCTCACCACGGGTTGGTGGGACCCCTGGAGTGGTACATGTTGTACCACCAAGAGCCAGCAGACCCCGGTGCTCCAAGTCTCACCAATGATCTGCCTTTTGGCCCTTTACAAGAGAAGAGCACCATCGAGCCCTGGAAGAGCCCATCCAGCTGGCAGCTGGAGGTTTGAGCCGTAGACAGTCACGAGCTTCTTGCCCTGGAACTAAGTAATGAAAACTTTCCGTCGTGTTCTTAAGATTTGCTTGGGAGTTTAAGCCAAATATTGTAGGCTAATGCATTTAGCAGAAGAAAAAAGGTACCTTGGCATCATGTGGAGCACTCTACCTGTGATACTCCAGGCCAGAGCTTTCAGATAAAGAATTTTTGCTATTACAGAAAGGCCCCTTAAAAATTGCTCTTCGATCTGTCTGTCAACAAACCTGGCCCAGACTTGATCCGTTTCCAAATCAAAAGGATTTGGAAGCTCCTTTCTTTCCGTTCTGAGGTTTTTGTTGTTCTGCCGTGCATCATCACCCAAAAAAGGCATTCTGCAGCCAGAGGCCAAGTAATCATTTTGTAACAATATTTAAAGGAGAAGGCAATCCTGTTTGTTCTCCAACAGCTGCGTTGGCCTCCCAAGGTAAACTGCAGTAAAACCTTTTTTGGCAGTAGAGTAAGTAGCTGTTGCTTAAAGATACATGGAGACATCAGAGTGTCCTATTTACGTACTTTTTTGACCTTATTCTCACTCCAGCATTGGCTGGCCTGTGCTCTGAGGTGAGACTTCCCCAGAATTTGGGTAATGATTCTCTGTCTCTTCTAAAAGTGCTCGTGAAATCACTAATGCCCGAAGAAACAAGGAGCCACGTTCTTCCCTCTGCCACTAATCACGGTATCAGCAGGACATTGTCACACATTTCTGTTTCTAGTTATAGAATATCCAAAGCTCAGAAGAAACATCCGTGGTTTATAGAGAACAGGCAGCAGCAACACCAAAGGTGTCCACAGAGCTCTCCGCACAGGGCAGCCAAGGCAGCAGACCGTCTCCCCGCTGCCCTGCGGGCTGTATGGGCAGGGCTGTACAAACTGGGGTCAGCGTTGCAGTGCAGACTCCCCAGCTCCAGGCTTACAGCCTGTTGGAGAGGGACACGACGTACAGGTGAGCTGAAGGAAGGTGGACAGGAGTGGACCAGGTTGTCACTCTTAAAGTGAGGCTGGAAATAAGGATTTGAGGCTTCCAGTTGGTTACGCGTGGCGTGTTCCCAAGCCTGTGTCCAGGTGTGGATTTGCTCCCTGTCGGAGCAGTGGCCTCCCCTGAGGCTTCACAGGTAAGTCAGGAGATGAGGCTTTGTGGTATCCACAGCTCCACTCCCTGCTGAGATAGAGCTGTGTAGGGTGGACGTGGCTGCACAGAGGGTGGGGACCTGCAGGAGATACCACAAAGCCCCATCCCCGAAGAAACCTCCAAACATTTTCTCCTCGCTCTGTTGTTAGTGCTCCGTACCCTGGCATGCGAGTTAATGTGCCTCTCTCCTGCTCAACAGTGATTTTTGTGCTTTTAACAAGTGTCCCTGGTTTCTCCGAGGGAATACGCCGCTGAGAACCAAACGGTCCCGGCATCCTGCCTGCACTGCCTGCCCGCACCCTTGCCCGCACAAGCCGCGGTGGTGTGGGGGAGCCTGGCAGCAGCTTTTGACGCCCCAGGAGAGCACGGCCGGTGGGCGCCGCTTCTCCTGTGGGCCTGCCTGGAACCTTGTTCCCTTTTGCATCTCCCCACCGAGGTAACGCCAGGGCCCTGGGTGCGATGGGATGGCAGTTCTTTCCTGAGAGCTGTGGTTTCACATACATGTGTTTGGTGGACGAGGGACTTGCTAGGGTGTGATACACATGAAATTCAAGCTAAAAAAGTACCAAGACTGATCTATAACTTCAATCGTTTCAGCGTTCCCTTTAGTGCCGGCATCTATTCATGCTGTTGCAAGAGCCAGATACTTCAATGACAAGTGAGTAACATGTCCTTCTTGAAGGAACTTAACATTATTTAACTGTGTATTACATTTTATTTGAGTTAATTTGGTGTGTTTCACCCCCAGCTGCTGGATGAGTGTTGACACGCACTTGCTCTATATTGTTCATGGACCCGTAATGGCAGCTTTATTGGTAAGGACGTTACTTGCTATCAACATTGTAATAATTATTTTAAAAATGCTGCTAACCTGCACAGAACAGAAGTTTCTGTACTTTGAGTATTTTGGTCAAAGAAGTATCTGGAGGTTTTGTGCATTCAGTGTTACGAGGACAGGTTCTCAATACTTTGCAAAAGACAAGTCCTGTAAAGGGACGTCCCAGTAAAGAATCAGATCTCGAGGCAAACAGCATCACTGACCGCTTTTGAAAACTGGGGCGGTCGCGCTCTCCCAGCATCACGTGTTTGTGACAGATGTGGTGCCTTTATGTGACGCCAGCGAGGCATTCAGCTGGGCCTTAGCTGGGGTGAGCTGAGCGCAGGCTGGTCGCTCGGCGTGAGTTTTACCAGTCACTGAACTGGTATGGCCCAAAGGTAGGGAGCTAAACCAGTGCAGGGAGGGGACGGGACTGGGCTGTCTGTGCAGGAGGACCAGATCCAAAGTGTAGCTCGGCAGTGAGCGTACGCAGAGCACCTTGTGTGGTGCCGTTTGGCACGGTAGCCCTGACCTTCCTGAAAGGTGCAGAAAGGGTTTTGTTCGACCCAAGCACACCCCAGTGTGTCACCCAAGATGCACTTTCAGCTTTTGAGCTGCCTCTTGCTTGCGAACATCCACGTGGACGTACCTGCAGTAATTACCTCGGAGATCAAACAGTTGGGCAGTGAATACTGGGAACGCCTTTGAATAGAGAGACAGCTTTCCATCTAATAGCTGAAAATCCTGAAAATCTTTCTGCCCTTTCTTGAGAAGCAGTCGTGCACATCAGCAGTGTGAAGAAGCCCGTTCCTCCCTGCCGTACAGGTAGTCTGCTGTTCCTGCAGAATCACGTCTGTTGTGGGTTTACTGGTTCTTGATTGCTTCTGCTGGTGTGGTGCCAACTAACTTCTAGGAGAGGCCATTCAGCCTTTGTTCTTGTCACCGTGCTCCAAGTCTGTACATCGTAGCCACAAAGAGAAAAGGAGGGACTGTTTTTTATGGAAAAAGAGCAATCTTTAAGTGTTTTCAAAATAAGGCATTACAATTTATGGCTTGTGCTTATGCCATTTCCAGCTTTATTCTTCTTGTGAACGTCTACAGAATGTCCTGCATGATTTGCTGCAAAAATCCCGTAGTGACAGACTGACTCAGAAGAGCTGAGGATTTTTACCTTTGTAAAGTCTTTTTTCCACTTTTCACATTTCCTTTCAGAAATTCCAAAAGTGAAGGTTAAGCAGAGTGAGTAAAGTCAGAGTAGGATGGAGAATAAGGTTCAGATTTAATGCTGAAAGGGACCTCAGAAGTCATTTATTATTCATTTTTTCCAGTAGAGCACAAATGTAAAACAGCTGAAAGGTCTCTCAGTAGTTGAGAAGTGATGAAATGTATTACCAAAGCTTACTGATTCATTTTTTATTGTTCTGAAAGATTCAACTGAAATTTCTCATCTATCTATGGAATTTGGGCTATTAAAATATCTATGTAAATTGTGCTTATCTATGCAACTTACATACCTATTTTAAAAAATCATCTGAAAAAGAAGTCTACTGAAGTTCTGAGGCGTAGGTGCCTGGTACTACTGTAGCAGAGTGGAAAAGAGTGATCTGGGTGCCCTGGAGAGAGAGAAGGTCTGTGATACCTGGGATGTCCCCAGGGTCATTGTCGGCCTGGGCCGGCCCTCCCCGTTCCTCCGCAGGCTCTCGGCACCAGGAGCTGGCCGCGAAGCCAGGCTCACGGCAGCTTTCCGTGGGCTGAGCACTCCCAGCTGGACCAGATTTCCAGGAGTGACCAAGGAGATGAGATGCTGAGCTCCTTGGCATCGCTGGCTGTAAGGGCCGGGGTAAAAAGCGTGTTAACCGTTGCCCGTGGGTCGTGTACCACGGGGTCCGTGCCGTCTGGGGGAGGCACGGGGCACCCCGGGGTGTTCCCAGGAGCAGCCTGGCCCCCCTGCTCGTACTCAAGCCTGCAGTATTGGCCCATGTAAGCTGGAGCACCTTCCTCGGAGAAGCCGTGTGCCCCAGAGATCCCGTACGGCCGGGGACACGCTGGGGCTTGTCTCGCCTGGCTGCGGACATCCTCGGTGCGGGTGGAAGCGAGGCGCCTAGGTGACCTCCAGGCACGGACGTGGTTCTCCTAGGAGACAGTTCGTCTGTCCCCTGTAAACTTGAGACACAAAAAGGAGATGAATCGTTCCCTGGAAATCCTGAATTTGCCCACATCAGTGTCAAAACAGCCAGTGCTTCCAGATGTGATCCCTGCCTGCCCAAACATCCGTCGGGCTTCCTAAGGGAAGTGTGTAGAGCAGCTTCACATCTCTTTTCTGCAGTCATTCAAGGTGCTTTCTGGGGCCTGGCTCCCAAGGAGCTGGCCTGCTATGAGCCACGATAAAGCTAGAAAGTTAACGCTTTACTGCCGTGTATGTGCTCTGTGGTTTTATTGTGAATGTCTGTTTAATCTGAACGCTTTCACCTATGGTGGCTTTGCTTTTGCAGGTCAATTTTTTCTTTTTGCTCAACATTGTTCGAGTTTTGGTGACAAAGCTGAGAGATACCCACCGTGCTGAGTCCAACATGTATATGAAAGCCGTCAGAGCCACTTTAATCCTGGTGCCCTTGCTAGGAATTCAGTTTGTTATTATTCCTTGGAGACCAGAAAACCGACTCGCTGGAGAAATATATGATTACATCATGCATATATTAATGCATTACCAGGTATGTTATATCGTGACAGCTCTGCTTAGGTGAGATGCTTGCTGTGAAGTTAATTTAGCCAAAGATGCTGTTGCTGGTTGTTTTGCCCTGAAACTGAGCATGACCCTGGGTTTGCAGTTCTTTTCCAACCACTTTCACACTATTGGATTATCTGCCTTTGCACGAGTAGCACTGCTGCATAAAGACCAACCACAAGATAGGGGAAATGATCAAAAATGTAGCAAAAATGATCAGATGGCACTACTTCTAAACTAAGGAGAGAAAACTGAGATCACAGAGGGCTTTTACATTCCAACGTGATTTCTGTTGAAGTGCTCAAATTGACTGAAACTGGTGCTGTGAGGTCAATATTAAAATTAGCCATGTATGGAAACCATTGTACAGAGGGAATGCCAAGACACAGAAGAAAAGACTGAGACAATGGATCTTCATTTAGGAGTTAAAATTCCATTATTAGTCAGTTTAAATTAAAATATAAGACTGACATTTTGATTTAATAAATGCTTTGAAAATACAGCGTCATTCAGTAAGTCTGGTTTGTTGGCTTTTAAAAACAAAACAAAACAAATCTAAATGACTTTAAATGCTTGGTTCTCTGCTCTACTGACTGTAATATATCCAGTCCTACATAGACTCGGAAAGGCAGATTGCTAAGGCATTTGTGAAAAGTGGTCAAGAGGGGTGAGCGCAGTGACCCGCTTCTGGTTTTCTTTCATACAGGAGCTAAGTGCAGAAATTATTTCAATGTTGTAGTAAGAAAACAGCTTAAGAAAAATCAGTGGTGCTTTTTCCTTAAATGAAGTGATAAATAATGCTACCAAAATCCGTGCATCCTGTCATCTTAGGTTGTATTTTCTGTTTATCTCCCTTACCCGTTCAGAACTAGGGACATGCACGCTGCTGTACGCGTAGGATAACTGATGTTATGGGTCTGCTTTTGCAGTGTGTGCCGTCTTGTGTTACAGTTCTGCTTAAATGGAGTGAGTGTTTCTTCTGTTGTTGCCTGTATTGTCGTTTCCTGATCTCAGTGCCTACAAAGGAACATCTCCAACCAAGTTCTCTGGTGACAAGCTGCTTACAGTTTTAGCAAGTTAGGATAAGGCAGAGAGTTACAATAATCGTTTTACTCTTAATTAAAACATCTTTCAAATCCTGTGAGAATTACAAAAAGGATGTTAATTGTCTTCATTGAACAATCCTAGTTACGGTCGTTACGCACCGATGTGTGGGATTAGGGGAGGGAGGGATCCAAGGAGGCAGTTTCATCTCCGATGGGTTCCTTCTGCCCCTGTCCCCATCATCGGGCACGGGTGTCCCTCCATGGCTTGTTGGCCCCGATTGACCCCACCAACACCTTTTGTTCCGTTTCAGCAGTGGGGGTGGCGCTGGGGACACCGGTGTGGGCACGAGGTGGGGGCTGCCCGTGCCCCACTGCCGCTGTGCCCGGAGGCCACCGGGCATGCGGAGGGGCGACTCCCCGCCGAGGGCTGTCCGGAGCCGGGGCAGCAGTGCAGGGGTCACAGAAGAGCTCTTGGCACCTCTGCCGTGTCATCCCCACGTGCGTCCCACCGGCACGTACAGCTCGGCCGGGCGGGAGGACGGGCACTTGTCCTGCGGGCTGCAGTGGGGATGTGGTGGCGACGCTCCCTTTTCCACTCAGAGCAGATTTTTAATGGTGTTCTGAAATAAACCTTCTTAATCCTTTCCCAAGCACTCCTAGTATGCATCTTTAAGGCAGCCAGCTCTACAGTCACTCCTCGGGTGCTCTTTTTCTCCTAGGCCTGATGGCGTCATTAGCAGGTGCTGTATTAGCTGTGCAACCGCTCCGTTTCCCCGCTAGCGATTGCGCTCCCGTCGCCCACAGCGCAGCCTGCCACTCCATAAACTGGCAGCAGTCTGTTAGTTTTTGCGTCCCATGGCATGTCAATCATATACAAACAGGCATCATGGGTGAAATAGCAATTATTTTGGTGGAAAATATAATACATTCTCCATTTCTGCACTGGTTAGACAATTTCTTAGCCTTTTTCTAGAACAGTTTTTCAACAGCACATCAGTGCTTTAAGTGAGCCCTGTGCTTTGATGTATTAGTTACATCATCCATGTACACAGAAGTGGTGCAAACAAGCACTGCAGTCTGTTGTAAAAATCAGAGGGTTGAAGATGATGAATGAGAAAGAATTTGTTCCCACAAGAAACGGTAGAATGCTGTTTCTTTCAGAGAATGGTTTTCCCAGTTGAAAAGCAGCACATCGAGATGTCACGTGCTGGGTTTCCTCTGCCGAAGTCACTTTTGAATTGTCCTGCTTTTTTTTGTCTACCCCTCCTCGCACATGCTTTTCTGTGTTCATATTTGAAGTCATGGCAAATTACAAGTTATGCATTAAATAAAATGTATCGGGGTAGAATAATTGCCAAAATTCAGGTGGTCATCACCTCTTCAGACCAGCCTGTGTATCTCTAATGTATAAGTATTTTGTTAAAACAGTTATTGCTTACCCTGCGTTTGTGGTCCAAAATATACACTTGAGAGTCCAAGACATTTTACAAAGTGTTAGCTGCAATTTAGCTGGTAATCAGTTAAATGAGGGTTTATAAGAAAGATACAGCTGTAAAGCTCTTCAGTGCAGCCCTTGGGAACACAAGCTATGGTATTGCAGTTTTTCCTCAATTTCACGAGCTGCCATACGTTTAGTTTATAACAACTGCTTTAAATAATTTCTAATGAAGGCATTTGGCTCCCAGTGATGCTGTGTAATGCTGTTTTAGTGAGCGCAAGTGCAGTCAGGACATGGGCCAGTGTAACTACATGATTCTGAATGGCAGGTCCCGCGTGCAAGAATTTTCTCTCTTTTTCACACTGTCTCACCTCATGTTCCTGCTTTGGCCCTGTTCGATACCATAGCAGCAGTGAAATATTATCTGAACAAAAGAATTAAATTAATTTTAAGCCATTTAGGAGCAAGTTGTGATCTGCAATCTCTCTTTTATTCTGCCCCTCTACCTTCTAACTCACCTATTCTGGTGGTTTTTTTTTTCTCCCCACTTGTACCTCTTTTCACATCCCCCCCATCCATTGTGGTGCCTCACATACAAGTTCACTTATCCTGACATGGGGTTCAATTTAAAGCCTTCCTGGGGCAGCTGGACTCTCCTTGGCCAACACGTTTAACTGGGGCACTGCACCCTGACGAACCAGTGGCAGCGCGTAGGACGCAATCCCTCTGCCGTCTCTTCAGCAAAGTCAGTGGCAGTGGGGTAATCCTCTGTGAGCAAAGTATCTTATCGACCTTACATACCATTTAATTTTCCTTCTCTAGGCCTCTTGAACAAAAATAACTTCATAGCCAACACAGATGATCTATAAATGCTAGTAACATAGGAGAAAATGGTAAAACGTGTTGAAAAGACAAGACTCAGTGTAACAACCTCACTGTGAAAGAGGGGGAGGTTGGGTGAAGTGTCTGTGATGCAGAGGCAGTGGATTAATGTTTTTATCTTGTATCCATCGAGTCCAAATTTCCGAACAACGCACAAAAAATTAGCTATTCTGATTTCTAAGCTCTTTTCTTTTCCTTTCTCTTAGGGCTTACTCGTGGCAACCATATTCTGCTTCTTCAATGGCGAGGTAAGCGTGAGAAATATGGCAGATGAACAGAACTTGGAAAAAGTCACCGCGGGTTCATTAATGCCGAAATGAAGCGTGTTCCACCAAAACTCTGAAACCACACCAGGTGGCTCTTCGCTGTCTGTGCACCAGCAGCAGCGTGTTGCTGAAAGCTCAGCGCAGAGCGTGTCTGCGTGGACGACCCCGAGCGTGGCCGTTGCAGAGCGGGGGGCTCCGGAGGAGGCGCAGGCGCGGGCCTCTCCCCTGCCACCTGCGGTTCTGAGGCAGAGGTCCGGGTGAAGAGCAAAAGGCTCTGCCCGCTGCCCTGGCTGGGCGGGAGGCAGCCCAGCACCCCGTAAGGAGCAGTGGGATCTCGGGAGTCGGTCCTGGAGAGCCGTGTGCCGCGTCCCGCCCCAGAGCCGAGGCCGATGCCGTCCCCGGCCGCGCTGCCGGAGCGGAGGAGCCTGGAGGAGCGCAGACACTCTCGCTCCTTGGAGGATTAGCGCTGGCCTTTCTAAGGTCAGTGTTTCTCGCGTAGCGACTGAGAAACAAAATCCCTCGAGGCAAAGATGTCTCCCCTTCTCTTGCAGCTGGGTCAGTATTTCATGTACCTGCAGCTGGTTTTAGGCCCACTTCACGGCCTTTTTTCTTTTTACAAAAAAAAATAGCAGGTTAAATACGTCAAGAGCTATTTCCATTCTTACAGTAAGCCATTTTCCAAAGATGGTTAGCAGAAAAATGCTTTTTCGATACATCAGGAGCATTCAACTGTAGCGAATAAACCACCATATACCTTAGCAAAGCTAGGAAGTCCTTTAAAAAGTTAATTTTGAAGCCAGAGCAGATGAATTAGATACAGAGCAAGCTTTGTGATGCTGACACTCAATGTGTCAACCTGGAGAGGTATCAGTGCTCCTGTTTATCCCTGTATGTTATTCGAAAGTAGCAACTCCCAAGCAGTGACACACACACTGGTGTTTTAATCGTGACTTGAGGCAAGTTATGTTATTGACGGAGTGCTACTGGCTGCTTTGCTAACTTTCAGGATGGCAGAGTGTATTAAATTCTGCCACTGCTTGCCGACATCGCTGCACATTTGCCTCTGGCTGCCGCCCTGCAGAAGTGCACACAGAAATGCACAGTGCCGAAGAGTAGAGGCCTCCCACTGGAATTCTGTATTGCGGCTTCTCAGGAGACACAGAGTGGCAAAACATGAGCAGCTGGTGACACCAGACCCTAACACGAAATGATAGCTGTGAAGATCACACCACAGCTCCTGGTTTCATGGGCCCAGTCAGGCAAAGCTGGAGAGATGTGCAGCTCTCTTTTTCCATCACGTTTCCGTCTGCAGGCTGCTGCCATCTTTGTCCTTCTCCCTTACTGTCATCACCTTCTGGAACAGTCCAAACTCCATGCCCTGGAAACACAGACAGAGTTCTGATTCCCCCTGGTAGGGAGGACCTGGCGTGGAGAAAGATGAGACCAGCCAGGCAGTTTCTCAAACATCCTCTCCCCAGGCGTGCCTGCATAGCGGTGTGCGAGCAATCCTCTGGGAGTCCTTGCTTGCCCCCAGACCATGTGTTACCCCAGAGTCCTGGCCTTGAACATTGCCTTCTTCGTTCTCCCCGGCGTCACGCTCCATTTTTTTCAGATTAGATTGTGCAAAACATATTTGCTTAATGTTTTATAGCTTTAGTGTGAAAGGTCAATTACTCTGTAATTCTCCAACTCTAATGAGAACATACGGATTTGTGCCTAGATTAAAGGCTGTAGCAATGCTAAGAAGGAGGAAAGGCAGCAAGAAAATGCACTGAAAACGTCAAGTAGCTTAGAGGCTGTTTGTTTCTTAGATGTTTCATCAGATAGCCCTGATTCCAAAGTATTTTTGGCAATGCCGCAGTGTCAGAAAAGCATATCCACCTTTACAACTCCAGGAATACAATTTTCAGCAGTGACTATATCTGGAGCATCTGCTTGCCAACATCGTGGCAGACCGTATGTATCATTTAATTCAAAACTAGATTGCGGGGTGTGAATGAGTTTACCTGTCATATGAACTAACCTGTATTGTGCAAGGCAGACTGAAAGCCACGTTCTAGGAATGAAAATGAGTCTAAAATAAATACACAGCTCTTTTTTTGTTCATTAAGTATTGTATTACACTGAATTTAGAATTCAGAATAAATATCTTTGGATTAAGAAAATACACCATATTCATACATGATATTCAGACGTCCAACCTCAGGGACACGCTGGGCTTTGTGGAGTTCTGCATCGACTGAGCTGATGTTAGGCAGCAGCAGTGGCAGCCAGGCGTTCCTTACGTGGGACTGAAGATGCACAGTGTAGGTCCAAATCGTGAGTAACAGCAATAGTCACCGAGCCCCTAGCTGCCTGAGAAAGCCTTTTGACGCATCTGGCAGCCCGCAGGAGAAAGACCTCTTCCTTGCAAAAGGCTCTTGTCTGGATACCCGCTTTTGGTTCTTGAGTGGCCAGCGAGCCATCTCTGAGGGGACCCATCTGGAAAGGTGGTGCCCACAAGGAGATAAACATTAATCTGATACTGGAATGTGGCTTCCAGGTTTGTACTCTGTTGCTCCCATAAGTAATCACATGGATGGAGTAACGACCTCCTGGTAGTGCCAGACTGCCTAGGGATTAATGTACTGCAGCCCTTGGTGGAGTGGCTGATCAGAAATGCTCCTCAGTGTCAGGCAGTAAGAACAAACAGCCGTGGGGATTCGGGTTTCCCAGACATGTTGGGAGTGATTTTTGTGGGGACTTTTCACCATTACACCCATTTTCAGAATTGTTGTATCTGCTTCAGACTTGCAGACTAACATGTCAATGGCAGGGATGCTGCAAAAACTCTCTCATTATTTTCTTATAGGAAATTTTATTTACTAGACAGTAAGGGAAGCATTTTTTAGAGTTTCCCACTGAGGTGGGCAGGGAGTCAAAGATGGCACCTCTCTAATACGGACTCGAGATGGTTTGGTGCTACTTGCATCAGCATATTACCAGTAAACATCAGGCAAGTTTATGTACTAGAGTAGCTGGGCTGGGCTGTGCCAGAGGACAAGGTGGAAGGGTTATGACCCCTTTCCTCCGAGTCCCATTTGTTCCTACGGTTACACAAGGTGTTGATGTATAAGGCTCAAAACCTAGCGAGGAGCAGCTACAGACCAAGATGGTACTAGGTCCTTCCAAAGGGAGCACTGGTGTGAGGTTGGCTGCCCGGGAGAGCTAAGCAGAGGTAACTTCCCCCAGCCTTGCTGTGCCCTTGCAGCAGGACACAGACCAAAGCCACAGTCTGCTCTTCAGTCGTGGTAGGCGATCGTTTCCAGGCTGCTGTATACATCTGCTGTCGTAGAGCTCAAAATTGTTTCTTATGAGAAAATTCAGTGTGGGGAAAGGAGATTAATTTTAGTACCACAGGAGCCTGGATACAATGGGATTTACTTTTTCCTACCGGAACATTGAACTTCAAGGCTGAAATACATGAAGTTTAGCCAGGACAAACAATGCTAAACTCAGTACCACCTGACAGCAGTTTATATTGCGTTCGTTGCCTACCGCCTCACCAACCTCGCTTCAGTACCGTGAGCCCATCTGTAGAAAGAAATGTAAACATAGTGATAAGAAGCTGGACTGGTGATGAACACATAAACAACGGATTTGTTTTGGACTTCTAAAATGACAGATCTTCTTGTGCATTTTCATATAAAATCACAGTGTCCAGCAGCGCTGTAGTTTCTCCGTCCAACAAAAACAGTGTTGTACAGATGATACAAGGTCTCTGCAATAGTCGGCTCACCAGACAAAATTTCCAGGCCTGAGATTGCTTCTAGACTGCAAGGCTGGCCAACAGAATGGAAAGTCTGTTTGGAAAAAAAACCAGCCGTGTATCTTGTGTGCCAAAGAGGCATGAAAGGCTAACGGAGAACAGAGAAATCTTTAAAGACCTGAAGAGCAGAGTGAATAAACTCAGGCTCTTGATTTCTTTAGACTTTACTTTCTTCCATCTCCTGTCACAGCAGAAAGCATGGCAGGCATCGCTTGCCCCTCCTGGTCCCCAGGAGCCTCCGTGGTTGTTCATACGTCGTGGCTGTGCGTGTGATTTTCAGTAATGCTGCTTACACCTTTAAAATCCATGTCTGAACAGTTTTAGTTGGCACTGAGTAACGATCATCTGAGATCCTTGGAATCATGGCAGAAGTCTAGATTAACACGTTGTTTTACTCAAGTGCAGCAGCTTGTGCTATCCATTCTCCATTTGTGGCTGGATTCTTGTACAGGCCAGCAGTTCAGAGAATAAAAACACAGCTGCTTTGACCTTGTGCTCTGCTCCATGGAGCCTTTTAAACCTGTAGAGTGGCACTTCTGATCATGGGCTGTACTGGAAGGGATGTGCCTGTTCTCTCCCTGGCCATAAATTTCAGTGTCAGTCCCTTCTGAGAAGAAAACTACAAGCTCCTCACAGCAGGCTTTGTAAGACTCATGGAATCACAGAATGGGGTGGAAGGGACCTCAAAGACCCTCTAGTTCCAACCCCCTACCACGGCAGGGACACCTCCCACCAGACCTGGTTGCCCAAGGCTCCATCCAACCTGGTCTTCAGCACTGCCACGGATGGAGCATCCACAGCTTCCTGGGGCAACCTGTTCCAGTGTCTCACCACCCTCAGGGTGAAGAACTTCTTCCTTGTATCTAATCTAAATGACTAGACTTAGTGACATTGTTCTTCCCCTTTGGTTAACCATGTTATCACCCCCAGACCTGTGGTTGTCCTGGTGTCTTGTTAGACTCCAGTTCAGCCAAGAGCAGTTTGAGAGCTCAGCAGGAGCTCATCACCTCCACAGGAGCTCTTAACTATTTCCAAATGAAAAGAGCTCTTAACTACTTTGTCTTGAGCTAAACAGTAGCAAAAAAAGAGCTAGTACTAGAAACTGGGCATGGATATCGTTTTCAGTTAGTTTTAAAGGACTAGTCCAGCAAGTATTTGTTTACTCAAGAAAGCGGTCGTACCAAAGTCAGTGCAAGTGCTTGCATGAGGAAGGATTTATGGCATCAGTCCTCATACCTTGGCTTGCATCTTGGATTAAAAATAAAAAGCCAAATCAGTTGAACTATCCATTCTTGGCATGCTGCATAGTCCCGCTGTACACTCAGTAAGCATCTCAGATTCACAGCAGTTCCTTAGGAAGCCTTGTCCTTGCGTGACATGAAGCAGCTTTCTTGCAGGCAGCTGTGGGTGGTGAGTAGGTGACATTTTACTATGTACATATCAATAGAGGGATGAGAATTGTGGAGACTTGGTAAATGTGAAAGTCATTCAGATTCGTCTACAAGAATCAAAGATGCTGTTCTGCAGAGAGCTAGAGAGTGACTGCAGGCTGCTGCCTGATCAAAACCGACCTGCAGCGTCCACCTCAGGAGGAGCACAGCAGCTCTGGGACACTGCTGTCACCACGGTGCCTCGCCTGCGCCTGCCTTCCTCTGGGGGGGTGTTCACAGCAGATTGTTACGGCAAACTGCTCCTGTCCTCAGATATTGCTGGCTGGAATCGCTGATCTAAACGAGCAGAGCCAGGGTTTGCCCACTCCCCGCTCACGTCTCAGCGCTTCCTGGCAGGACTCGATAGCTTAAGTCATATCCTCGTGCCGTATACAACATCACTCTTAATGTAAATGTCAAGTAAAGTATTTTATTCCTAGAAGATGGATGTCCAAAGGCTGAAACTCTCTGCTACGCAGAGGGCTGTGACCAGTGCTGGGTTTTTGCCAGCACAGAACCGGTTCTTAAGTTACCAGAACAAAGCCTCTGATGAGCTGTGCTGATGCTCCAGCAATTCCTCTCTACAAAACCAGCTCTTGAAGGGTACTTGTGCTTTGCCGTTTGTGGCCGGTTTTACTGAAGGTTGAGTTTCTTCAGGGATCACCCAGTGTTAGCCGTGCCAGGGGCGAGGGTCCAGCGGCAGCATCGGTGGGCTCTGATCCCCGTCCCGCCTGCCTCTTCTGCTGGAGCAGCCTCCCGCACGCCATGCCACACCATGCCATGCCGTGCCACGCCGTGCCACGCTCGCCCCTGACGGGAGCAGGCGCCTGTGCCCACTCCTCACCGGCAGCAGCTGGGTGGGCCGGGAGGGAGCTCCAGCGGGAGCCGAGCTCTGCTGCTGGTGGGGCTGGGAGCAGAGGGAGGAGAGAGGTGGGATGAACCTGGTGCGCTTACGCCTGGAGCTCTTTTCTTTTTCCTTTTCCTTTCCCTTTTCCTTTTGCTTTTCCTTTTCCTTTCTTTTCCTTTTCCCCTTTTTCTTTTTCTTGTTCCTTTTTCTTTTTATTTTCTTTTGGTTTTTCTTTTATTTTTTTCTTTTTCTTTTATCTTTTTCTTTTTCTTTTATATTTTTCTTTTTCTTTTATCTTTTTTTCTTTTTCTTTTTCCCTTTCTTTTTTTTCTTTTTCTTTTTCTTTTTCTTTTTCTTTTTCTTTTTCTTTTTCTTTTTCTTTTTCTTTTTCTTTTTCTTTTATTTTTTTTTTTTTTTTTTATCTTTTTTTCTTTTTCTTTTTCCCTTTCTTTTTTTTCTTTTTCTTTTTCTTTTTCTTTTTCTTTTTCTTTTTCTTTTTCTTTTTCTTTTTCTTTTCTTTTTCTTTTATATTTTTCTTTTTCTTTTTCCCTTTCTTTTTTTTCTTTTTCTTTTTCTTTTTCTTTTTCTTTTTCTTTTTCTTTTTCTTTTTCTTTTTCTTTTTCTTTTTCTTTTTCTTTTTCCCTTTCTTTTTTTCTTTTTCTTTTTCTTTTTCTTTTTCTTTTTCTTTTTCTTTTTCTTTTTCTTTTTCTTTTTCTTTTTCTTTTTCTCTTTCTCTTTGTCTCTTTATCTCTTTCTCTCTTTCTCTTTTCTTTTTCTCTTCTGTTTCCTGCAGCATATTTTAAAATGTCTACAACCGCAGGAGTTTAGACAATGCCTCTCCCTAACTGTGTGTTTCTTTAACAGGTACAAGGAGCTGTGAAGAGGCAGTGGACACAGTACAAAACCCAGTGGGGCCAAAGGCGCCGCGAGCACTGTTCCACGCGATCTACCTCCTACACTGCAACGTCGATCACAGAGGTCCCCGTTTACCTGTACCATCGTGATTCCAACAGCGAACAGTTAAATGGAAGATACATGGAGGACTCTGAACTCGTTGCATTAAAATCTGGAGAGACATCTGCCTAGCTCAGCACCAGCCGTTGCAAACGCATCATTTCTCATCCTGCTTGTGAACAGCGTGGGGAGAAGGGTGGGAGTGTGGAAGTCCAAGCTGCTGTGGGAGAGGGCACGACCAGGTGAAAGGACACGTCCTGTCCAAACACGTCAGCCTCTGAAAGCGATGGCGTAGGGGGAGTCTGACGCAGCCCTGGGAACAGCATCTCTTGCTGTGCGCTGCAGCAGGGAGTGGACATGGACCTGCCCACCAGGCCGTGTTGTCTCCACATCCCCTGATACCCGCTGTGCGAAGCGACCATCCGAGAGCAGTGACAGTGCCAGGTAGCCCGTAGCAATGGGAAGGAAAGAACCAATACGTGGCAATTGGAAACTTTCAGCAATTTTTGCTTTCGGTACTTTTCTTTAACACTAGGTTCTGAACTTTCAGCTTTCACAAGATGTAGCTGGCTTGGAGTCCTTTACTTTTCTGCTCTCCTTTTAATGAGCTTGGTGACTTCTTAAAGGATTTTGCACATTGCGAGACAAATCAAACATGAACAGAAAAAGAGCCACTCCAAAGTATTCAGATCTTGATGATCTCCAAAGATAGCCCAAGATCTTGCCATCTCCAAAGGATAGCCCAAAATCTTACCATCCCATTACCAAGTGCATGAAACAAGTGAAGGTAAACAGACTGGTTCTTTAGGCTGCCTCACACAAGTCCTGAAGGCATCTCAAAATAGGTTTGTTTAACAGTACTGGTAGGTCAGGAATATTTACTTATAGGAAAAATTGTCACCCTGTTGTTAGTCTGCCCAGAAACTCATCATTAAGGCACAACTCTTTCACTCTGAATAAACTGTGAAATTTGTTTGGAAACAATGATTTTTCTTTAATAGCCATTCTGAGATGAATGCTAGATGAATGCTTGTCTTTGTAATAAAATTAGGGTCAAAGCAGTAAAGGATCCCAGGTAAGAAATGAGAAACTAATGTCTTAGCATGGGAAACATCTATTTTTAGAATCTAGTTGCTGTTCTGAGTCCCTAATTGTTGGAAGTGGTGATTTCATGTGTGAGTCTGTCATCAGGAAAACATGATGAATGTACAGTTTTCTGAGTAATAAGCACCTTTTATCACACATGCAAGGCATCGTTAGAGTCTCTGTGTGATTACTGAGGCAGAAATTGGGTTAGGGAGAAGCTGATGTGCAGTTAGAAGTTACAGTACTGTCACTGCGAAAGTTCTGCAAATTGCAAAAGAAATAAAATACATCAATTTCCCACATGAAGCTAATTGTAAAGAATCTGCAAGCAGTAACGCCAGTGACAAGGAGGTTTTGCAGGGCTGCGACTCCTGTGGAGTTTTATGCCTAAAATATCTGATGAATATAATGTCATTCCTTCTTGCATCTCTCTGGAAATCTGTCTTACAGATTTCAGACTCCTTTGCCTTTGGCTGAGATGTGCGTGGGCTATTTCAGATGCTGACAACGTCAGGGTACTCATCACGGTCTTTAACTTTGAAGGAAGGTGTAAAATTACCAATCCCCATTCATTTTACCTGCTAATACACTTGCGTCCGATGCTTCCACCCCAGCCCAAGCAGGAAGGCGCAGTCAGAGGGGGAGGCAGCTGCGAGTGCCAGTGGTGACACTTGCTCACCTCAAACGTCTAAATACCAGCCCTGGCCTGGGAGTTGTGAAAATACTGCCCTGCGTGGAAGGGGAAGAGGCAGAATGCCGTCCTGTGTACTGCAGGTACCTTCATGTGGGACTTCTGCTGCTGCTGTAAAATTTCTTCTTTTCCTTTCTTTGCTTGCTCTGGTTCCATCCATGATGATTTTTGTCCTTAGCATTGCATAAGGTCTTGAAATACCATGGGTTAGACTACTCTTAAATCCAGACCTCGTCAGATGATAAAGGGGAAGAGAAAAGCTGAAATAAGGCACTTGAGCTACTTGACAGTTTTTTGAGGTAGCTTTGGAGGTCACAGACAGAGGCCCTAGCCCTGCAGGTGTGCTGAGGAGCGACCACAGGACAGTCTGTGTGCCCCAGGGGGAAACGCACTTTAGGGAGTCCCATAGAAGGAGATGATGGACTGGTCCTGCCGTGAACCCTGTCTGCTTCAGGTTCTGCTGAAGTGAGCAGACAGGTCCGTGTAGACTTGGATGAGTGCTGGAGAGCTCTGCCGTGTTCAGGAATGACTTGCGCAGTACAGTTTGGCGTAGACCTTGAAAACAGGAGACAATTTCATCCTTAGCAGTTTGAAACCGGTTTTAAACATTGTGTTCAGCCAGGCTCAGTTTTTCCTTCACGGGCACAGCTAGACCCCAGGCTTCACTCTTCATTTGTAACTTTTAAAGGGGGGTCTCTGTACATGTCTGCCTACGCGAGTCACCGTCTCACTGGAGAAGTCCCTTCCAGAAATGAGCTCATGAGGGGTGGGTGTAAACCTGGCTCTATGAGAGGGGACTGAATTCATGGCATCCGTACATGAGGCTGGCGCTGAGCTACTGGTGCTGCGCCCGTAGAACAAGAGAGAGGATCTGGGGAACGAGAACTAACTGTCCACTGGTGGTGCAGGTCATTGCGTCATGAATCCAGTGGAACATTTACAAGAAAGCACAATCCTGTGTGTTTGTTCAAGCCACACTCCTGTTTTTCAGACTTCAAGGAATACGAAGGTGGTTATTTTTTCAGGCAACAGTATTTCGCGTATTGCTGTTTCGACTTCTGCTGGTGAACAATGGGAAGTGGAGGATTTAGTCATTGAAGACCTTAAGGTGGCTCTGCTATGGATGCTGCATTTCTGAATAGCTTTGGGGCACACCACCCACACTTCCTGGAGAACCCCAGAAGGCATTCGTGGATTCTAAAGACACAAAGGAGCTGATTGTAAAAGAATTGGCGTAATACAGAGAGCTGAATAACGAACGTGTTGGTTTTGATAATGTACATGTTTACGACATGTAAGTACAAGTCAGTTTACAGCCTGTTACGTTCATGTGGATGTTCAAAATGGAAATGCTTTGCCATTCTAGTGGTCGTTTTCTTTCTTCACTGATGGTATTTTCTTTCTCTGTTCAGTGGAATGCTCTGAAAAGCCAAATTCAGGGTCTGGGGTTTAGGCTCTTGCTTTGAGCTTCAGGTGGTGGAAACACTGTGTGGTTGGTTACATCGGTGCTTGTGTCAGCTTTGGTTTCACTGGAGTGTTGGTGGTTTGCAGCCACTAAGAATTTGGCCTAACATACATACTGAGTGGGGTTGGCATCACCCTTGGGCTTTGCAGGAAAGGCTGTGGTTTACAGGTACTTAATAATTTCTAATCACAATATTTTCCAACAGAAAATGCTATTTTTCTTCATCTCAGGCTGGTCTGGAATGTTGTCATTGCACACATAAGGTAGATTCCACTTCTCTGCTTTACAAGTAGCACCATACACTAGTGACGGTAGTACTGGGAATGCTGATATGACCTCAGTAGTTACAGTGTCTTGGCAGTAGGGTGTTCTGTCAGCAGCGTATTTCACAGGAACAGCACTGAATCGTTAATGTATGAGTGCCTCAGAAGGTAGGAAAGGAGCTGACACTTGAATCAGTGGATTCAGGGTGTCTTTTAAGAGGAACCCAACCTGACATTAATCACCGCTGCAGTACCTGTTCCCTGTCATACACCACACCCAACACGTGAAGACCCAGTTTAACAACCATTTGCTCTGGCAAAAGGGTTTGTGCGGTTGCTTTGTTTGAGCAAGTAAATCTGCCAGGAAGGTGCTGGTTGTTGCTCTTTACTGGGTACAGAAACGCAGCACAAATTAAAAGACGTGCTGTGGTGTGGGATGCCAGAAGTAAGACTTGGGGTTTATTTGATTTACTTAATAAATAAAACAGTAACAAAGGTAGGACAGTTTTCTCTGTATTAAAATTCTTAGCAGTAACGTACCTTAATTAAAAGTCTGACAGTTACAGAGTGCTCGTGTGTTTGTAACATAGCAACGTGACTTTGTTTTGGGATAAAACCAACCATGAAATGTGGTGAATTTCTCTCCTCTTTCCCAAATCCTCCTCCATCCTTTGCCAACCTTAACAAACAAAATCTGGGCCATTTTTCAAAGATGCAAATCCTGAACACTAATAATGAGAAGGTATCTGCATTTCCAGTGCTTGGAATTCGAAAAGTCAGATGTGTCTTCGTGAAGCTGAGTATGCATGGTTGTTTGATTACCGCTCAAAAATACGAGCATTTGTCACCTCAAAGTCATTTGCATTGAACAGTAGTTGATCCCGAGCCAGTGAGACTCTGCAGAGTGTGAACATGCCCGCTCCGGCAGCACAGAAGACCTGAGCCAAACCACGCGCAGGTTGGACCCAGTGTTAGCCACATGGGGGGGAAAAAAAGAAAAAAGGAAACTTTGCAGCTCGTGTTAGTGCCAGACTGGGAGTTTTGAGTTCCTGGGGCAGCTGGGTCATTGCGATGCACCACTGTAGTGCTCCACGAGCACCCGCTTCAGAGCGACTTGGGAGAATGAAAGCCTGAGTCCTGCACAGCAACTGTCGCCAGCCAGCAGCGAGGGGACGTCAGACCTCCAGCCTGAAATACCACCTCGGGGGGAAGAACAGGGTGAGCCCCCCCCATGAACTCTCTGGTGAAATTTAAGTCCCTGGCCAGCCCTGAGATTTAGGATGTTGCCAGAGTTGTGCTGCTTTGGCACCTGTAGTTCTGAGGCAGCTGCAGTAATTAAAGTACCTGTAAGGTTTAGTTTTGAAGTACCCTTTTCATGACCTGCAGATGTTTCTGAGCTGCACAGAATTTTGCAGGTACTTCCAGATGAATCACAAGTCTATATCTAAGCACCCCTTTATTGCATACTCAGAGCATCATCGAGAAAATAAAGTGTTTCTCAGCGTCCCAAGTATAGATCAGTCTGTCACTCTCAGCCCAATAGTGGACAGCGGTTTTAACGAGTAAAATCAAGTGGTGAGCAGGTTACCGTTGCTGAGCATGTCACAGTGCTGCAGAAGAAGAAAGC